AGACATAATCAACAACAAATAAACAGGTGCACATGCTGTCCTAAGTTTCAAGAGTTGAATTCCAAAGTTGAAATGTACAACATCGTTCTTCAACTTAATACAAACCAAATAATCCATCATTAAGGCAAGTGGCATATTGGAGAGAAGGCCAGCTTTGGAGTCGGAAAGACATGTCTTCCTATGACACATACTAGCTGTGTGTCTCTGGGCAAATCATGTGACCTCTCAGTGCTCTAAGCAACTCTCTGGGACTATAAATTGTAAGGAGTGTCTGATCTGCAGTCTGTGAAGGGAAGCTTCACAATAGAAGTTCCATATATAACTGAAATTATAAGTTCAAAGCCAAAAAAAAAGAAAGAAAGAAAAAAGAAAGAAAGAGAAAGGAAAAAGGCAAGCATATTTGAGAAACTAGGCATCTTGGCTGTTCAAATCTATCATCCAAAGTGTAGAAAAAATATTTTAAAGTACAATATGGATCAGAAAACCAATGCATTCTTGTGTTTTGGCTTTGTATCTGTTCCCTAGTTTACTAACTAAAAACATTTTTTTTGTCCTTTCAGATCTGTTGACTCAACAGGACTGTTAAAAAAAACCTGAAACAAACTAGGCTGTTTTTTAGGAAGCCTTTTGTAAAAGTAATGAAATGGTGTGGTTAGCTGTGACTCTAAATCTCCTGTTAAAGACTGTCAGACATGATGTTGAGATTAGAGTCAATAAGCAAAAAACGTACCTGACCTGTGCACTAAGTAGTCTTGATAGCTAAATTGTAACACAAAAGGATTGAGAGGTAGTAGGAAGATGTCAAGGTAGAATCACTTTTCAGTATCTTGCTTTCAAATGACTACCTAAACTTGTAAAAATATTCAGGATGTCAGAAAAGAAGTCTAACTTTAGGCCCTGTTTAATGCATCTAAGTGCCATGATTTTTTCCTTCCTATCCTGTGCTTTAGACAGTGAAAAAAGAAGACGTGGGAGGCTGTAACCCTATAAATGGAAGTCCTCTTCATTCAGAGAAAAGATGTCACCAGTTGTCCACTCCCCATGCCCGTTTCGTTGCTAACCAAAAAGATATTTACTAGGTTTCCTCCCAGATCATCAACAAATAGAAGAATCCAACATTTTAGATGTGATGAGATCCCGCCTAATGTTGGTTTTATACACAACACTGACTGGTGCCTATAACATTGCCCATTGTTGCAGTCTTAACTGTTCCCTGTTTGTTCCTTTCCCCTGAGTGGTTTCTCTCCCTCTTGCTCCGAAGGGATCATGTCCAGGCCTGAAAAGTTAATATGTATTTTTTCACATCACCTATCTTTATGTTAGAGCATGTTAATTGATATTGGCAGGGCGTGGTGCCTTCAGTGAGCTGGAGACCAGATGACTTCATACATGGATGCTATTTTGGTTTTTGAAAAACATCTCTTAATTTGACCTGAACGCTTACAGCGATTTGCTCAGAATAGGCCAGTTATGTCCCTATTACTTTAGAATTTCCAGGGTAATGAACTCATACCTATTCCTTTTCACTCCTCCCCCTTCTTACTCTCCACCATGAGGAAGAGTAAAAAGCATGAGCTATCTCATAGGCTACTAGGAAAATTTTCTATTGTCCTCTGGCTGAGTCTTCAAAAACTACTTAGAGGTAAAAGGCTCTTTTTTCCCTGTCATATTATTCTGAGTGCTTCTACCACCCCACCCCTCACTCTTTTTTTTTAAAGCTTTCTTCAGGCACATTTAGAAAGCATCATTAAGTAAGTCTTGTTTTCTGGTTTCTTTGGCCACTGCACAAACTGCTGGAAAAATGATATATTGCACAGAGGTAACCCTGGTTCCCAGAAGTGAGGGTATCAAAGCTGGACTCACTTCTGAGGTGTCAGACTGAAGGTAACAAGTCTCAGTGCATTGTCATACATCCATATACATTCCAATTAAGAGGTTTTTTTTTTTTTTTTTTTTAAACATGAAATGGATGCAGCCATTTTGGAGTAAAAAAAGTTAGACACAGAGCACGTGCATTGGGTTAGAAATGAATTGCTTTGGAGGATGTGTGTTAGAGGTGCAGCATTTTGGGAGAAAAAGGAGAAAGCCCCCACAAAGAGCAAATTTACAGCATAGGCAGACCCTCTGCAGGGTGGTGGGTCCGGGTTGATTCGAGATTCCATCAGCCTGAATGCATGCTTCACAAACCAACCTGGATTTCGCACAGAAAAGAGGCGACACACTTTATAGTAGCAAACCTGATTTGTACCTTTCTCAAATATCTCTCTGCTTGAGGCTCTCTGAATATTCTACTGACTGTCTGGGTGGGGGTGGGGGGGAGAGATCTCTACTCCTACTGAGTTCCTCCCATGTAATCATGTGGAAATCATAGGATCTTAGATTAAAAGTTGAGAGGAAACTTAAAGGTAATCTAGACCACCAACCCCTTCATTTTATAGGTGAGGAAACTGAGGACCAGGGAAATAAAGGGACTTGCCCAAGATCATAAAGGGAGTAAGTAAATGACTGAGCTGGGCTTTAAAACACAATCCAAATCTAGCACTGCTTTCACTATACCCTACTGCCTCCCAAATCAATTCATTAAAGGGACAGATATATTTGAACAAGTTGAACATCAGATTGGGGATACTGTACCACACACATTTGAGAAAGGACAAATACTCTAGAGTATTCTAGACAGAAAAACAGTGGCTGATTTAGCTTAGAACAAGTATAAAGAATACATTGAGGTACATTTCTAAACTTTGGGTAGGATGAGGACGTAAGTAGAAAGGATGGGTGAGGTGTGTCGGGAGTTATTATCTAGTAGTGGGTCATTTCATCAAAGTATCGTTCACTCTATTCCTCAAAATGCCAGTAGTAGGGGGAGGTAATTTATTCTCATGCATGTATGGTATTACAGATAAAATTAATGGTATAGGAAATGCCTTGCCAGACTCCACTCACACAAACGAAAAAAAATTCTTCCATCTTGACAGGTTTTGGGGTTCTAAACTATAATCAGCCCTTCATCAAAACATAAAAATAAATCCTGTTATTCAGCCAGACTGCGATGTTTGTTGCACTAGGCTGGGTCCTTAGTACAACATCAATAAATGGCCACTTGTAGAAGGACGTAGAAACTCCCATTCATAAAGAAACCTACATCCCAATGGACTTCCCGAGGCCTCCTCCCCTCCCCCCCCGCCCCAGTATTCCAATACCTGTAAAAACTAAGGAAAGATTTTGGAAGAATGGAAACCCAGAAAGATAAATGATAGAACCAAGGTGAAAAAAAGCAATTTCTTGGAGACAATTTCAATTTTTTCTCCAAGGGAAAAATAAGACAACAGATGAGTTTTTAACCATTGAACTAAGATTTTTTTTTTTTAGGAACCATGTGGAAAGAGGCTTTCAGAAGGGCTTTCCCTGTTTACTGGAAGTCCTGGAGTTAGGAAGGCACTTTAGTGTCTCTGGGAGGAAGACCCTCTGAAATTACCTCCAGTTTACCCTGTAAACATCTTATATAGACATAGTTGTTATGTATTATCTCCGCCATTAGAACATGAGCTCCTTGAGAGCAGGGGACTGCATTTTACCTTTCTTTTTATCCCCAGGGCTTAGCACAGTGCTTAGTACATAGTTAAGCACCTCATAAATGCTTGTTGACTGGTTGCTGACTTGATAGAGTTAACATTATTCTCTGGAGAGTCAGCTCATCCTCATGAAATGAATATTTGTTTCAAGTAGCCTCGTCGGCTTCACATTTCTTGGTTCAAGAGAAGAATTTATCCAAACTCCAAGGGGATTGGAGATGAAAGGAAAAGGATTTAAAAATGGGGTCTGAAGCCAGTCCTGTACTCAGTGCTCTTAGTGGTGGTAGAATCACACTACTCAATGCTTTAAACTTGATTTCCTGGTCTGAGCCCTTTAAGGGGCAGAATATTGACTATTTCTCTTTTTCCTAATTTTTAATAAGTATCACCACCTGGTTATGTAACCTTAATCCATGCATATAGTCCAGTGCTCATTTGGCTGGCCTGTCAGCAACAATGTTTAAAAATATGTTAATTCAACAATGTAGGGAGGATGTTATTTCTAGAGCTAAGCTCCTCAGGGAAAAGGTGGAAAAAATTGCTCCAAGGATTTGATTCCTCCACACTGAGCAATGCCTTTATTCCTGATGCTTTCTTCCCATGCATTCCCATACCTGGTGGACCCTGACTTCTTCCTTGCAAATTGAAACCTTGAAAAGACTTCTAGGACACATGCATATTCAAGTACCATTAAAAAGGGATGGGGGCCCCTGGAAATCAGCATATATTAGGGCCTTATGTGGCTAGGTCCTGCTGTGTTTTGCTTCTCACATGGTATCACTTCAGGGTATAGCTGCTTTTTACCCCTGGCATACAGTAGCATGCAACTGAAATTTATAACCTAAGTCATTTTCCATACTCCCAGCCAAATGAAACCTCAGGATTTGCCAACTCCAGTGAATTTGCAGGAGCACATCATTTAAGATATTTGGGGAGAGAAATTGAGGAACTGATTTCAGTATATGGAAAACATCCTATAGATTCCTTTTGCCACACTGGAATATTTGTGGTCGTGTTGAATTTGTTCTGAAATAAAATCCATGGATTTAATTTTTTAAAAAGGGGGCAGAGGGGGTGGGAATAACATAGCACATTCCTGATATCCACACACTCAACACATGGTCCTAGGATTTAAAATCCAAAATGGGAATTACTTTTTTTAAAGTAATTCATCTCTTTGAAATTAGAAAATTTGGTAGACCCGAGTCACATAGAGGACACCATCGGAAACAAGCACCCAAGGAAGGTTTCACTACTCCTAGCTGTGTACCTTCTGGGATTGATTTTCCTCCAAGAATCCAAGTTCCGAAACAGTCCTCTCTCTTGAGCCATTTATTGAGAACAAACAAACGATCTTGGAAAAGACATCACCGGATTGAAGTTAAATACCTGACTTTGTTGTATGAGAATCATAAACTTGCTTACGGTCTATCTGGTCTGCAAACACTTCCCCATAAATCATCCAGTAGGGCATGTAGAAAATATTCTTGGCCAGCTTCCACGAAGGCTCCTCATTGGGGAAGAGGATGGCTTGCCTAGCCACCCCAAAACTCATCAATACCACCAGCATAATGATGACAAAGTACATCATGTCTATCATCTAGAAGAGATGGGGATGGGGGAAAAGGACAAGAGAAAACCCACATGGTTAGTTGCTTATAAATGCTGATGCCAATGAAAACACTGTAAATGTATCAATTTTCTGACAAGGAAAGTCTGGAAAGGATTCTATGGCCATAGGCAGCTAGGTGACACAATGGATAGAGCACTGGGCTTAGAGTCAGGAAGACCTGAGTTCAAATACAGCCTCAGACACTTACTAGCTATGTGACCTTGGGCAAGTCACTTAACCCTGTTTGCCTCAGTTCTTTTATCTGAAAATGAGCTGGAGAAGGAAATGGCAAAGCATTCTAGTGTCTTTGCCAAGAAAACCCCAAATAAGGTCAGGAAGAGTCAGGCATTCCTGAAACAACTCAACGTTATGGTCAGGAAGGTCTCCTTGGACACCTGCTAGTTGTGTAATCCTAGACACATAAGCTCCACCTTCCTCAGTTTTCTCATCTATAAGATGGGAATATTGATAGTACCTACCTCCCAAAGTTGTTGTAAGAATCAGATGAGATAATATTTGTAAAGTACTTTGCAAACCTTAAAGCCCTATGTAAATGATAGCTATTATAATAGTAGACAAGCTAGTGAAACAAATATATGTAGGCTCTTAACCATAAAAATGAAGGAAAAGAGAAAGCTGTGTTCAATGAACTCCCCTTATTTTTAATTTAATTTCTCTATTTGCCACTTAGTGTCTCAGTCAGGTCTAGGATCAGAGATCTAGGGCTGGTGCAATGTCTTTCATCCAAGGAGTGACTAGCCCAAGGTTACAGAGTAGGAATTTGTAGAGCCAGGATTGGAACCATGTTTTTCTGATTCCAGACCCATTGATCTTTCTTCAGCACCATGAGGCCTGACCCAAATGAAATGGAAGTACCATAGAGGAGTCATCACATGACCAAGAGTCAAGATCTCAGGTTCTTATATGGGGCCGTTGACAGCTGTTTCTGTGGCCTTGGGAAAGGCAAATATCTTCTATGTGTTTTTCATCCAAGAGCAAAATGGGAATCCTTTTGTTTCTCTTCCTGTGAGGCAAACCAGTGTGGAACAATGGCCCAGGTGCAGATGGAATATTGACGAAGAGCTAGAAAGTCTCAGACTTAAATCTGAGAATGTATTTTAGCAGGGAAGATTTTTAGTTCACTCCAAGCTATGAGGAGCTGAAGATATCTGTTGGTGAATGGGGTTGGGATAATCCATTTAAATGCTCCCGGTGGATCACTTTCCTTTGGCTGAGTTAAACTGCGTTCTATTATAAACGAATAGTGGCCCAAACTTTTCATATTCCTAGGGCAACCTTTCCACTCTGGGGTTAGGGGAGGGAAATCTATGAGGCAGTGAAACTGTGTCTTGTGAAGAGTTATACTCATGTGTCTAGGTGGTGGAGTGGAGACAGTGCTGGGCTTGGAGTCAGGAAGATCCTGGTTCAATTTCTGCCAGACATATGTACTAGTTGTGTGACCTTTGGCAAGTCACTTGACCCATCTCAGCCTCAGTTTCCTTATCCATGACAAAGGCAATAATAATAGCATTGACTTCATGTGGTTGTTTTGAGAATCAAATGAGATGTCATATGGAGAATGCTTTGCAAACCTTAAAGAGCTTTATAAATACTATCTATAGTATCAATAACAATAATAATAATTATGCTTGTTGCTGTAAGATCCTGTAAACCCTGGCTTTGACTCCGTTTATAAACTTTTTTTCAACCTTACCCATTAAGTCTCCTAGGTTTCTACCTATGCCTGACTTTATCTCTAGATAATCACCTATTTTGTATATCTTAAATCGACTTCTACCTGCTTTTTTGAAATTTAACATCAAATAGATGATCCTGGGAAGCAAACTTAATTAAGTAAAACAGGGCAATGACATCCATCCAACCAAGTCTAATCCAGCAAGTATTTATTAAGTGCCTACTGTGTGCAAATCCTTGCCCTCAGCTTACACACTCAAAGAAATCCCAATAATCGCTCTACCAATAAAAATTTCCAATAAAACCTAAGACAGAATTAGAATTAAGAAATTTTTCATTGTCTAATTTGTTTCAATAGCATGCAGGGACTGCAATTTTCCTATGTCCTTTAACAGGTCTGAGGATGCCCGTAGATATTCAATAAGTTTTAAACCAATCCTCAGGGCAACTTCAAAATTAATTTGACGTAGTAGTTAAGGTGGGATGTGTGTGTGTGTGTGTGTGTGTGTGTGTGTGTGTGTGTGTGTGTGAATTTGAATCTGAGGCTCTGGAAACTTTGGCATTTTCTCTATACTGCATCATTGCCTTTGGAAATAGTGAATTAGTTAACTAATTGTTTCTTCTGTTGCACAATAGTTTTAGACATCTCTTAAAGTTCGGCTAACAACTGTGTAGAGATGGTTTTAATGGGTATATCCATGGCAATGTTTTTTTTTCATATTCTTTCTTTTCTTTTGAGTACCACTCTTCCATCATTTATTTATGAAGAGTTCAACCAGGTGAAAAAAGTTCTAACTGGTCTTCCATGTTATGTTTGTTTAGACTGACTAAAGATGGGTGGACAGTGGAGGACATGCATTTGATATGTATTTTCTGTGGCCTCTAGTTCGACTGGGAAGGAGAAGAAAGAGGGGAAAGAGAGAGGTAGCAGTGGCGCACACTGTAGAATGCTGGAAGTGTTGTCAGGAAGACCTAGGTTCAAATATTGCCTCTGACACTTGTGTGCTATGTTAGCCTGGGCAACTGCCTTAGGCAACCCCTTAGAACAAGGTATCAACTAAGTTATTGATGAGTTGTGATCTGCCCTGGTTGAGAGAGTTCTCTACTGGTTCAAAATCACAGAACCTTCATGCATTTCTTCTAGTATTTCTTCTTCTTGTATGTATGTATTTACACAAATATACGTGCATATCTATATTCCAGTAAATGTATGGAAACCATCACTCAACTAAAACTGTTCTCTTCAAACATACAATGATTTCTCAGTTGCCAAATCTGATTTCCAACTCTAACTCACAATTATCCTTTCTGACCTCTATGCTACATTTGACACTGCTGACCACCTTCTCCTGTATACTCTCTCTTTCTTGACTTTTCTTTTTGATACTGTTTTCTCCATTCTCTTCCTGTTTGCTCCTTCTAAGCCTTCTTTGTTGGATTATCACCCATTTTTAGTCCTCTAACTGATGGTGTCTGGCTTTTTGGCTTTGGCTCTTTCCTGAGCCCTCTTCTCACTCCATACTTTCTTGGTGATCTCGTTAACTTTTGTGGGTTTAATTATCATTTCTATTCAGATGACATCCACATCTTTATATCTAGTCTTTGTCTGTTACATTCCAGTCCTACATCACCAACTGTAGGCATCTAAAATTCCACATGTCCAAAACTGAATTTACCATCTTTCTCCTCAAACTCTTTATCTCCTCTTCCTAATTACCTGGTTACTGCTGATAGCACCACCATCCTTTTAGGCATCCAAGTTTGCAACCCTTGAATAAGCCTTGACTCTGACCTCTTCCTTACCCACTCACATCCTATCAGTCACCTCTTGTTGATTCTACATCCTTAACATACTCCATCCATCACCTACTCTCTACTCATACCACAACCACACCCTCATCATTCTTATCTGAACTTTTGCAATAGCTTTCTAACTGGACTCCCCCCCTTTCCAGGCTTCCCTCTACATAAATTAATATGCCCAGTGCACAAATACCTAACCGTACCTCTCCCTTGCTCCAAAAACTCTAGTGGCTCCCTCTTGACCCTACCGAACCAAACCACACCAAACCAACAAAAAAGTCCCTTATGTTTGGTGTTTAAAGCCCTTCACAGTTTGGCTCCGGTCTACCTTTCTAAGCTTATTAAATATTACCCTCATTCACACATTTTTGTCATCAGAATTCCATCCCAAATGGTTAACTTGCTGTCCCCTATATATGACATTCTATCTTCCATCTAAGTACCTTTCATAGATTGTCCCCCAGACCTGGAATGTACTTACTCCTCACTTCTGCCTAGTAGAAGCTTTAGCTTCCTCATGTACCACATCCTACACGAGACCTATCCTAACTGCCCATGTGGCTAGTGCTTCCCCCTCCCTCACCCATAGGAAATATATATGTGTATATATATACACACATGCACATGTACATGCATATACATACACGTATATATACATATATGTGTATGTGTGTGTATATATGGAGAGAGAGAGTTTATTTTTCTGTGTACATGTTACGTCCCCTCAATAATGTAAGCTCTTTGGAGGCAGGGGCCATTTTGTTTGTGTGTCTGTGTGCATTCCCAGTCCAGCACATTTGTTGTTGTTGTTGATTTGATTGGTTGTGACTCTGTGAACCAAGTGTCCGTGGGGTTATTTTTTGGCAAAGGTACTGGAGTGATTTGCCATTTCCTTCTCCAATGTATCCTTTTGTCAGGCAATCAGAAGTTAAGTGACTTGCCAAGGGTCATCCAGCTGGGAAGTGTCTGAGGCTGGATTTGAATTCAGGTCTGCCTGACTCTAGGCCCAGTACTCTATCCGCTGAGCCACCAGCTGCCTCACCTGGCACATAGTAGGCACTTAATTGCTTATCCAGTGCTGAAAGGAATACTCCCCATTGCTTCAGAGGTTCTCAATATCACTTCATCTGTTCAAATTGATGAACTGCTTCCTTTGGGTCATCTTTGGTCAGGGTCTATAAAAATTCAGTCTTCTGACTTAATTTTTTTCCTGTCTTGGGTCAATGACTCAAGCATCTAGCTAAAGACATTAGAAACCGCATATAATAGCAGCAATTCCCAATCCAACCAATATTGCATGTTCAATTTGCTTTCCTCTTTTTATTTGGGACTGGCAGAGGAGTCAGAAAATTTAGACTGTAGAGAGAAAATGCGGTGAATCCCTGCTTATGTTACCTGGGACTGCCACCTGGGCAACATGTTGGTGCCATTTCATGTCATTCACCATAGGGAATAGTTATGTTATAAAAATGGAAGAAGTGCAGCTGAAAAATAATATAGCTGCTCTGGTATGAATTCTCCTTCAGTAGTTTCAAAAGATACTTAAGGATGAGTCAACCTTTCTTTAGTATGTATATGTATTATATGTGATATATAATGATATATATGATTATATGTGTACATGTACACACATATATACAGAGAAAGTTCTATGTGAACTAGATAAATATTGTATTGTAGTGTATCATATGTATGATAAATATGTGTATGTGATATATCTATAGATAATTAGAGTGTTTATTATATATGATATATCACATATAATACACACATAGGATGTGTATCATATGATATATATGATAAATAAATCATCTATATAATAAATGCATACTTTATCAAAATATCCATCTAGTTTATTTGCACCTCTCCATGTATGTATCTCACACATATATACACACACACACACACACACACACATATAATACATACACATTCTACCATCTATCCATCTCTATAGTTATTTATTTCTCTAGCTCTTTTGGACCTTTCCATTTCAGATAACTAGGCTCTCATACTTCTGCTTAAGGTATATATAAGGAGAACCAACTGGATAGGGAAGAATTCTTTTAGAAGAATAAACAGAATATAATTTTATGATTTTCTGATAGCATTATTATCAGTTCTGGGCATTAGAAGATCTTGACTGTGATCTGAAATTCATCATTAAAATCAAAGATGATTGAGTCAGTAGGTGAGGTGGTCTGGCTGTTGAGTGAAGACAATTGCAGCTGAGATTTTGATAATACTTTAATGTTTATAAAGTGCTTTACACAATGATCTCATTTGATTTCCCACAACAATCCTGTGAGATAGATGCCATTATCATCTTCATTTTGAAGATGAGGAAACTGAGGCTCAGAGAGGGTAAGTGATATGTCTTAAGTCATGAAACTATTAAGTGTCTGAGGCAGGATTTGAATCTAGGTCTTCTAAATTTCAAGTCCATTGCTCATGCTTCAAAGTTTCCATTAGAATATAAGCTCTTTGAGGGCAAAGACTGTCTTTCTTTCCCCTTATATTTGTATTCCCCATGCTGCACTTTAGGCCACATTGCCTCTCTATTCCAAAACTGAAATGGAATACAATCTTATAGCGAGTAAGTAATTTGCCCTCGGTTTGGCCAAGGTCCTCCATTTGTGGCGTTAGGGTTGATAACTCTATTTGTATCCAAATGATGGCAGTGGTACAGAGAAAGCTAATGGCAGCTTGGCAAAGCAGATGAGAATGCTGTACTTGGATTTGGGAGGGAGTAGGTTTAAATACCACCTTTGATAATTATTAGTTGAGTGATTTAACCTTTCTGAACCTGTTTTCTCATCTATAAAATGAGGGAATTGGACTCAATGACCTCTAAAGACTCTTCTGTCTCCAAAATCTATGCTCCTATGACCACCAGAAAGCACAGAGCATAGGAACGTGCTCGCCAAGTTTTCATATGATGTCCTCTTAAAAGCACAAAATGAAAATTGAATAAAAAAATTTACATTTTGCATTTGGAGAAGACTCCTCACTTTCTTTGCAAAAAATTGTTAGTGTTGGAGACAGAGGGCAGCTAGGCAGCAAAATGGATAGTGGGCTGGGCCTAAACTCATCTTTCTGAGTTTAAATCTGGCCTCAGATGCTTACTAGCTGTGTGACCCTGGGCAAGTCACTTAACCCTGTTTGCCTCAGTTTCCTCATCTGTCAAATGACCTAGAGAAGGAAATGGCAAACCACTCCAGTATCTTGCCAAGAAAACCCCAAATGGGGTCATCAAGAGTTGGATATGACTGAAACAACTGAACAACAACAACAACTAAAGACAGAGACCCTATTATTTTGCAACTGTTTTATAAATACTCTTTGGTTGCCCAATAGCAAAGGAGCAAAGAAATGTGCACTAAAACTTAAGTGAAGAGTGATTGTAAAAACATCTTGGGTAATTGCTCACAAAAAGGTTTCCACCTTAGGGGCGAGGGGAGAGTACATAGGGCCTGTTGGCAAACTGGTTTTTCACAGAGCATTCAAGGGAATATAGCTCCAGCAGTGTGACAGAGGCAGGTAGCTGTGGAGTGATTCATTACACTAAATGACATGTTCAGAAAAGAGAAAAGTTGCTTTAAAAGCAGCCCTGATGCTCCCCACAGTGGCTGTGGGAGGAAGCAGGCAGGAGGGGATGATTAGCTCCCTCAGCTTTGTATAGGTAGAGTGACGATGCTATTCTAGGGTGATATCCTGGCCGGACAACCCCGATGGGTGACCAAGGTGTGCCAGGGGTAAAGCCAAAAGCTGTAGGTGAGCATTCCTCTACCAGAGAGTGGCCTCAGTGCCTCTGTTGCAAATCCTCCAAATCCCCCTTCCAGAGGCCACAGAGATGAGAGAGTAAAGGGCAATATGGCAGAAAGTAGCATGGCTCTGGAGACAAATTCTGTCTCTGACATTTCCTGTGAGGCCTTGGGCAAGTTACTTAACCTGCTTGAGCCTTGGTTTCTCCATTTGTAAAAGGAGGGGGTTAGAAATGATGGTCTCTGACGTCTTCTAGGTGGCTCTAGCTATTTTCCTTTTTAGCCAATACAATAGAACCTTGAAAAAGTCTTTTCTCCCCTTAGTATCTGGCAAGGCATGGTGGACTCTAGAACATAGAGAGACAATTAAGTTCATTAAGAGTTTTTGGAGCAGAGACTTCCTCCCTCATTGGAAGAATTATTCTCTAGCTATTTATATGGCTAAGTTTAAATTCTAAAGCAATTTAGAGGAGGAGGAGTTGAGTTAGATTGTCTATGTTTGAGCTCTAAAATTCTATGATTCTGTGACCTTGAGGGATGGAGAACAGAAAAATCATAGCCAAGTCTATTTTATACTCTGCCAACTTACCTTAGGACTTCAAGGATCCGTGATTTCATTGGAGTGGGTACTCCCTCCACTGATGCAGATGGCATCCTTTGTAGATGATGTCATAAGCTGTGGCCAAAAATAATCATCACCTGGTGGTCAGCCTTCTGGTGATGAACCTCTCTGCACTTAGCTAGATTGGTCCTTGGATGGGAGACATAAATGTCTGCCATTGGGCCTGTGCATTCCAGCAGATCCAACTAATCTTCATTCTTTTTCTGCTATCACTCCTCCCCTTAGAGTACCCAATAGAAAACAAGAACTCTTCCTTACCATTTTCCCAATCATCATAACGTAAGGGCCCAAGTATTTGTTCACGCCGAAAATGTCTAACAAGCGGATGTACCAGTAAATGATATTAACACAGTATATGACCCTCCCATCGCTTCTGAATGGCTGATCTTGTAGACGAAGGATCATCCCAACAGAAAACAGGAGGATGGCTATGAGGTCTGTGACGTTCCAGTACTCTTGAAGCCATACTTTCACCTTTTGTAATAGCTTTCCAGGCTCTGACATCAAAATCTGAAGGAAGAGGAGAGGGGAGAGAGATTAGTTTCAATTTCTCCCTACTTTTGAAAGGCAGTTGTAGTAAGCTTCCATGTTATGTATTGAATAGACATACATCTATCTAAGCCCCATTAGAATTTACACTCATGGCAAGTAGTGATCATTTCATTCTTTGTCCTTGTATCACCAATGTACCTGGAATATAGCTAGTATGAATAAATGCTTTCTGAATTAGAATTCACAAAGGTCCATGAGATGATATATGTAAAGTGCCTTACACTCCTTAAAGTACTGTATATATACTAGCTGTTATTATTATCTTGGATGAGAATCTTGAGGTGGTTTAGTTACATGAAGCACCAGATTGATCTCATTAGGGTTTCTTCCTTTTATAAGAAACAATTAGCCAGACTGCCATCCTTGTTATACCTCCACTAGGGACATCTGTGCTGTGAAAAGTGGGGGGCTGGCTTAGGTTCAACCTTACCTTGTTGTTATGCCCAATACTCTTAGTATTCCTAATACTCTCAAGAGCAGGGCATGTAAAATTCACTCACTGTTTCCTGCTTGGGCAACTCCATACAGAAGCATCATTACAGGGAATGGGGAGGGATGCATGTTAAATCAGAAAACCTTCACTCATAAACACATGAGTGAAACTATTGTGAGATTATAAATATTCCCCTGTCTTTGGGATCTTGGTTTTGAACAAAGGTATGTATGTGGGTACTGAGAACACAAGACTTGTGACTCACAGTCCCATGATAGATAAGTGTCTTTCATGTGCACTTAAGTGTCAGAAACTCAGAATATGTGATGATGTTGTATCGCAGAATTCCTAGATCTCAGAGGAAAGGGTCAGATCCTTGCTGTGAAAGTTATTGGTAGGCACTATTTCTCACTGATGCTGCATTTGAAGCAAAAACTCTTATGAAAAGCACTGTAGGTTAGAGGAAAGACCCCTGGACTTGGAGTCAGAAGATTAGAGTTTGAGCCTAGGTGCTGCCACTTATTTGCTGGGTGACCTTGGGCAAGTCATTAAACCTCTGTGAATTTGTTTCCCCATTTGTAAAATAGGGGTACCACTTTTTTCCCAACCTACTTCATCATGTTGTTGTAAGGAAAACACTTTTAGAATCATTAAGCACTGCAGAAATTTGAGTTATCATTATGTCTGCCCTTTTCATTTCCCAATTTTTCATATAAAAATTCAAGAATTGGGTTCCTTGAATCCTTTTGTGGATTAACTTCCACTTTCACTGTATATGCCCTATATGTACATTTTTTTTGCATGTTGTGTTCCCTTTTAGAACATGAGCTCCTTGAAGGCAGGATCTGTAATTTTGTTTTTCTTTGTATCTCCAGTGCTTAGCACCACATCTGGCACAGAGTGTTTAAAAAATGCTTATTGGCCAATTGTTTCCTGTACAGCTTGTGGTGAAGCACATTCACAGATCTTAAAATCCTTGGTATTCTGTCAGCTACATCCTTTCCAAGAGTAAACTATGGGGTCTATCCTGCCTCCTTTTCCTTCCCTATTCTAGTAACTAGAACAATTCCATCTACATTGTATGGGAATCTTGCCTTAATTTCTCCCTATTGGGAGGAAGTAAGAATGAGCCATAGGGTCTATTTTGCTTCCCTTTTCTCCCCCATTCTAGTAACTGGAGCAATATCATCTACATTGTGCTGGACTCTTTCCTTAATTTCTCCCTATTGGAAGGAAGTAAAGTTTGGTAATAAAATTGCAAGTGATCTGGCTACTGATTGATGTCCAAAGAACTTTTGACAAAAGTCATCATGCTTTGGTTCTCAGAGTACTATAAATTCCCAACTCTATGTGGCAGATATCTTATTTGTATAGTTTGTGGATAGGAAATCCACAAAACTGCTGTTGTGTGAGTGACCCATGGATGGAAACCTGGGTGGAAGTATTTGGTTGATGACAATGCCCTATTTCTGAGATGCTCAAACTGCTGCAAGGATATTTTTATTCAAAGTAACAACACCAACCCTAGAGAGGTCAGTAGGAAATAGGAAATTTAGGAGAAAACTCCTATTCCAGTTTTACAGATCGTGATTTGCCATGGCACCTGAGTGCCAGCTTGAGATGGATATTGATGTGTTCTTAATGCAGCTAGAAGAGGGCATGTTTCATGGCATGGTAGATCAGGTGCTGGATTTAGGACCAAGAAAACCCTAGGTTCATATACCCCATCAAACACTTACTAGTTGTGGGTCCATGAGCAAGTTACTGAATATTTGGGAACTTCAGTTCATAAGATGGGGTAATAACACCTGTAGCATCTACCTAACAAGGCTCAAAGGAAGTAACTTAGGTAAAGCATTCAATGAATGTCAATGATTGTTAATGCTATTATTAATAACAATAATGTCATCTAAACAAAAGATGGGTTTTATATCTTTCCTTTGGGAGAAAAAACAGTAGAGCTTATGGCTCTCAGTTGAAAAGCAGGAAAAGTACAAGAGCCCCTGGGCCAATTTTAGCAATAATGATGGACCGTGATAGAAGTGGTGATCACGGTGATAATGCTTTGGATTTATAGAGAACCTTTCTTCCGAAGAGCTCGATGAGCTTCTCCATCCATTAGACCATTTATCATCATATCCTTGTGACAATGACACCTGAGAGGAGCTTTTAGAAGCTAAGTGGACCTGACATCCTTCCAGAAAAATCTGCTCTCTCTGACTGTTCCAGCCAGAAGAAGGGAAGGTGTGGCAGGTTCCTGACAAGCTCTGCCCAATCTCAGCTTCCATTGTGTTTTTTCTTCCTCTTTGGAATGTAAGAATTTTTTGAGATTGGCCTGCTGGCATCAGGAAGCAGCCTGCAGAGCCCTCTTGTGGCCTTGGATGTCTACAGCATTGGCTTCGGGCACCATTTGGAACTGAGATCTCTTGTGTTCCAGAGAAATTTGCTTAAAATGAATGATCTGGATGTTGAAACATTATAGCTTTAGAGATGGAGGAGACCTTAGTGGTCATCTAATCCAACTCCCTCAGTTTACAGATGAGTAAATTACATAGTAGATTATAGATGCTATATTGTATTTTTAAGGGGGAGGGGATTAAGGGTGAAGAAGAATAAATGAAAAGTATTTATTAAGAATTTATTATGGTGCCAAGCATTGTGCTAGGTGTTGGGGATACAGATACAAAAATGACACAGTGCTTGTCCTTAAGGAGTTTACGTTCTAACGATTGAGACAGAACATATAGGGGAGTGATAGCCAGGGAAGGGAATTACGGTCTTGACAAGTCACAAGAGTTGGTGAATGGAGCAGTAGGACAGACAATTGAGATACCCTTTCCAGAAGCAATGGCAATGATGACATGATTACAGTTCTCAAAGAAAAAGTCCAGGGAATGGGGAAGTACTCACTAAAAAGCTAGAAGGAAGAGGAAGACAGAGTAGACTTTAGAAAGTAGCTCCTTTAGAAAGCATAGGATCCTGGAGCTGGAAGGGACCCCAGAGTCTATCTAGTGCATCTACCTTATTTTTATAGGTGAGGAAACTGAGGCTCAGGGATATTAAATGGCTTGCTCAAAGTCACATAGTGTGAAAGATGAGATTGGAAATGAGATGCTGAAATCCATTTGCGTAACAACAGCTACTTCTAAGAAATGGCCAAAGAACCCCACTTTGAGGGCAGGCACAGAATGTAGACAACTGTATAAAAGGATAGGAAAAGATCTAACAGCCATGTAGAGTAAATGTTCTGTCTAACAAGGAAAGACATAATCATTTGCAGGACTTCCTGGGGAAAGTGAACTGTGTTAGTTGAAAATAAAGAGCAAAGACCCAGGGTGTCATGGGATGTCAATGCTATGAACATCTGAATGAGCAGAGTATCCATAGGGTTGTCAATGAGAAAGAAATGGGAGCCCTGGTAGAAATTCCTGGGTTAGCATTAGGAATAGTGGTCTCTTGTTAAATCCGAATCCCAAGTACCCCAGGATAGTCATAAATATAACTAAAAGCCCCCCTCTCATTTCCTTTCTTCCAGGTTCTCTTGTAGGGATGCGGTTACCTCTCTCATCTTCTCTATTCCCAATGTGAATATATAGGAAATGACTATCCATTCCTGGGTGGAAGGCCAGCGTTCCATCTTCACTAACACTATGTAGTTGAAGAGCATCAGGTACCCAATGTATGCCAGCTGTAAAGAAATAAAAGACAATTTTTCTGTCCATTAACATAGAGGAGCATTACTTCATTCTTGTGCAGGCTTCTGATATAGGGCAACCAGACCCCAGAAAGTGCATGGGTGAAAATGGAAGACATAGAATCAGAATCATTGAATCAATGCATTTTTAAGCTGAGAGAATTCCAGTGATCTTGACAGGATGAACTGAAAAACTGCTAAGTGATTAGTACAGACAGTGAACAAACTATAAATAATCCCCTCATTTAAATTCTTATGATTTTATTGTGAAACAACATCATATTATTTAAAATTAATAAGAAAGTTTTCTTTAAAATTCTAAAATGTTAGCTGGATAGCTATCCCAAACAAGTTTTAAAAGCTGAAAACAGACCCACTCTGAAATAGCTTGACCTCCTAATTGGTTGGTTTGTCCTGTTGATGTTCTTGGGTGAGTTTACCCCTTTTCTACTTATCAGGCTACCTTCCATGTGATAAGACTAATATTTACTATTATTTCCTTGATGTAGCTTCTCCTTTCTGCCCCACCCTTGCCCCCAACATTGGGAGGCCCAGGTTCCTCCTCCTTTCCTATTCCTTAGGTAGTAGTTTTCACCAAAAGGAGACAAAGCTACCCCAGCATCTGATTGGCCTGACTTCCCTGATGTAGCTTCCTGGTCATCAAACATAAAAATCCCTGCCCTTTTGACTAGATACATTTCCATATGGAAACTTTGGGGCCATGTCCAGAGAATCTTAGCATACCCACTGTATCCCTATTGTATTTCTTGCTTTTTTAGAACAAAGTAAACCTCCTTTTGTTACATATTCAATGTCTTATTTCATTCCAACACCAAACCTGAATTAAGATCACAGAACTGGGATCCTTAGAGTGCTGCTGTTAGAGCTGCCTCCAACATTCCAATAATCACGTTCCACATGAGAACATTATTCTGTACTGCTGCCAGAAGAAGGGATGTCTATGGACTGATGTGTGTCTAGGCCTACGGTTTAATCCTGATGTGACTAGCAAAGGAAGATAAAGAATCGTCACTGAAACTGTTGAGGCCTTTGAATGACTTGGTGTTGCTCATGTTTATTATTTAAACATAGCCTTATGATACTGTCGAGAAATTGCCTCTATATGTTTATTTTGAGGCCCCAATATACTTCAGTATTTACTAATATGAATAATTAGATTATACTTAACCTTGCCCCTAGCAGACTATTCAGAGGGAATATATGGAATTTTCTCTTATACGCACAATGGTATGGTTTAAAAAAACTTTTGGTCTTTGTGTGCCCAACAACTAGTACTGCCCCTTACACATAGTAGGGGCAGTGCTTCCTTGAGTCCTTGTTTCAGTCACTTTATATTTATTTTGTTAGGAAGCATCATAGTACAGTGGAAAGAGAAGTGGATTTGGGTGGGACCAGAGCGCCTTGAATCAAATCCTGTCTCTCTGTACTATATTACCTTAGGGAAGTCACTTAAACCCATTGGGCCTCAGTTCATTTGTTTATAAAATGAGGAAATTGGATTAGATGGCCTCCAAGGTCCCTTCTAGCTCTGTGATGTATGATTATAGAATGATGGAGCCATTATCCCTTTTGGCCAGGGTCTAATGGAGTCTTTGGGGGAAATGAAGGTGATTCAAAATAAATTTGTTTTAAGAATGTAAGCTCTATGAAATCAAGGACTGTTTAATTTTTGCCTTTGTATCCACAGTGCCTAGCGCAGTGAATGGCATATATGTGCTAAATAAATGCATATTTAATTGAATTATTGGATAAGATGGGAACAAATCCATAAATTAAACTCAACCCTCATCATATCTGATGAGACATTTTCTTTGTGGTTCTTAACCATTGATTTCTTTCTATTTGTTGTGCTAACCTCCATTATTTCCATGCTAATCTAGTCTTATTTCTAATTCTCTTGATTTTTCATTTAACCATCAACATGTCAGTGTAGACATTATTTTCTAAACTATTATTTTCCTTCTCTCAAGCTTAAACCCACCTCTCTTTATCCTTAGGTTCAATTGAACTTCTTGGGATTCTTTTCTTTCTCAAGACTTTATTTGACTTCCTTGGCTTATCATATACAATAGTACAACCTCTCAGTCACTGCATTCCACAAGCCACATCCTCTAGCCCACTTCACTTCCCATTCCTTTGACATCTTCTCTTTCCCTAACTTTACTTATTTCAGTTTTGGACTTGCTTTCATTATCATAATCATAGATCTAGAAGAGCTATCTAGTTCAACTCCCTAATTTTATAAATGGGGCAGCTGATAACCAGGTGGTTCAAGTGACTTAGCCAGGGTCACATATGTAGTAAGTATTTGAAGCATAATTTGTACTCTATTTGACATTCTAGAGCCAGGATTCTTTCCAGTGTATACACTTTCAGCTGTCTTTGTCTTAGAAAAATCCAGTCTTAGAAACAGTCAGTTTTGTGGGGGCTTCATGGAGGTTTACTCTGACTTTACATGTTTTAACTGCTAATTCTCTCTCCCCTCCTTCCAGTATCTGTAGGTCTTATAAAAGTTGTGAGCAAAATCTGAAAGTAGTGAACAGCAATAGGACCATATGGCCCTCACTAAAGTCAGCAGGAGTCATGTAGAGGTTTTCTTTCATTTGTATTTTTGGTTTTTCTTTCTCCTGTCACATGTACAACTCTGAAACTATCAGATACGTAATGTCAAGGTCATAACAGAACTACCTGGAATTTGGGTCTCTTTGGGCCAGGGTTTTTGCCAGTTACCAGTCCCACTCTGGCTCCCTTTTTCACTAGTCAAAGGAAAGATATAAATTTTGTTTGTCATAGAAAATGGAAACACAGAATGTGTGGCCCTGTGTCCTGGTGTCACTTCCAGCTTTGAATCTGGACCCTTCCCAGCTAAATACAGGCAAATTGGCTCAGTTCAAGAGAAGGGCTCATAGAGCAGCCAAATGGATTTGTGCCTCTTTTCCTCTTGGAACCGAAAAGGGATCTAACTGGCTCCTACATGCAACTTGGTAACAAGGAGCAGAGAGGTTGCAGATTTTTTTTGGGGGCCATTCTGTCTCTCCCTAAAAGAAAAATAAGACACATAGTATTTTCCAGAGTCTTGAGAAAAGCAGTAGGCACATTTCTGAGAGATTCACAAAGAGGAGAAGAGAACAATAAAATAAGATAATCTTTATCTATTCCCTAATTTAGGTGCAGGTCACTTGGATTGATTTAAAGGACCAAAATCATTTTTTTTCGACCCCAACCCACCCTCCCCCTGACACCTTAACATACACACAGTTTGTATCTCATTGTGCCTCACTTGAATGAGACTAAAGGATACATCTGGTCTCTACAATGTTTTGTAGACCATCTAGCCAATCATATAGCAGGCACCCTAGGATTGCTGTTCTCACCACTCCAAGGGCCACCTTCATATTGTATAGTAAATGCAACAGGCTGGAGGTTTCAGTTTTTTTCTGATTAGGCCATTTTTACAGTACAGAAACCACTGTCCTGTTTTTGGCTCTTAGCTTGATCTACTTCTCAGTGACGTGAAAGAGACATAGACTGTGCAACTTAAGGGAAAAAATGATAGCTTTGAGGATGATGAGATAAGTGAACATGCTATCTAAAAAATATATGTCACGTTCCTGCTACTGCTTCCAATTTCCATCTTATGCTTCCAAATTTCCCTTATGTTCTAAATACTGTATAAACAGAGGAATCTAAAAATTACATGATACAACTGCATTGTTGTACAATGTATTTAATCCAGGAAAAGTGAGCAGAAATTGTTTTCTAAAGCATTTCAAGAACATGCCTTTTGTAAATTTATACCAGATTAATGAAAGGGCCTCACTTGGTTTTATTTATTTTGTGGCCATTTCTCCCCCTTATTTTTTACATTAAATTTCAAGAAATTTGAATTTTTTTCAATCTCTTGTTTCTTCATATTTAGGGAACTTTCCATACTCTTCCTGGACTGTTCTTCCATATTACTCCCTTCGGTGAACTCTGTGGTCAGATTGTACTTGCTTTTCTTCACATAAAGCATTTCTTCTAGTTCCATGACTTTTCAATGGCTCTTCCCCATGCGTGGAAGGCTTTCCCTCCTCACTTTCTGCAGCCTAGTTTCCCTGCCTTTCCTCTCCCAGGCAAACACTACCTTCTGTAGGAGACTTTTATCAATTCCCCTAAGTACTAGTGTGTTCTGCTCTAAGAGTAACCTTCTATCTACTCTGAATGTATCTTGCACATCTCTCTCTCTCTCTGTCTCTTCTCTCTCTCTTTCTCCCCCCTCCAATTTCTCTCTTTCTGTTGATATGGTCTTTCCAGTTAGAATCTTGTGATAAGAGTAATGAATAGTCAAAGGATGTGGAACACTTTCTTGTGGGGGATAAAGGGAGAATGATGATGATGACAATAATAACAATAATAATGATAGCTAACATCTATGTAGTGTTTTAAGGTTTGAAAAGTGCTTTCATCCCAATAACTCTGAAAAATAGATAATTCAAGTATCACCATTCCCATTTCATAGATGAGAAATTAAGCAAGTGGCCCATGGTCACATAGCTAGTAAATGTCAGGGAAGGGAGATGAGCTGTGACTCATTAGTGTGATCCTGAGGAAGTAGCTGATGCTAGCAGCAGAACTTAAAATCTTAATTGGACCCATATGGTATTTTATCCAGCTTTAAAAAAATGTGGAGAACTAATGGTGCCTGGAAGCAGGGACTCTAGAAATTGGTGGGAGGTAAGGAGAAAGGATGCCAGCTTTGAAGCAAAAACAAACTTGGACAAGAAGCTGGAAGAATTGGGTTGGAGGCATGGGCCATGTTGAAGCAACATGGCAGTTGGCCACATGGCAGGGCTAGACCTAGAAACTAGTTAGATGGCTTCCGATGTAGCCCAGAAACCTGGAATAGCTCTCTCTGGCCAGATAAGTAATATCTTTCAGCTAGATTCTAATGTTCTGAAAATTAATAATTCTGTATACTGTAAATCTTCTTTAACTCATCTACTTTTCCTTAGCTACCAATATAATGACCTGAGGGGGAAAAAAAAACCAGTCTTTTTTCCTTGAGTGAATTAAAGAGGAGAAAAAGGCTGTCCAGTTGAGGTTGGGAGTATCTAAGTGTGTTGGTGGTGAGAGAGGCAGGATTGGTCAGATAGAACTGTGATCTTTAGAAAGCAGGTAAGGAAAAGTTAAAACATGAGAAAGAGAAGAGACTGAGATGAAAAGAAAGGGAATATTCAATATGGGATTAGGATTCCCTGTGAGAGCCTATCATCTCTCTGCCTGGGGTGGGGGGTAGATTTTTGACTCTTGACTTGGAGTCAGGAGACCTGGATTTAAGTTCTGGAATTGATACTTATGAGTTGTATGACCAGGGTTATTATTAAACTCCCCTGATTCATCATGTATGGAATGGGATTAATGATACAGTCCAACTCAAAATAACCAGTTTTCTTGAACAAAGTGCTTTCTAATTTTTTAAATAATACCTAAATATGAGCTATTCTTCTTATTCTTATTGTTAACATGGATTTAAGTAGCAATGAAAAGTATAAGCAGAAAATTAATAAAAAACGTCCTTTGTTCCTCCCATATCAAGAAGGTACACTCAGTGACAGCTGATTGCCTGGTGGATAGAAAATATTTTCTGGGTATGCATATTGTACAACCCTACTCATCATGATTCTGGGCTGTCAATGAGCAATCTCGAGATAGATCTGTTTGCAGAATGTCTAATAGTTACAGAGCAAAGGAAATATTGTTTGACGATACCATATTGGGGTTGATTCTTCATATGTGCTACCCACATTTCAGTTTCTTGGGTGGAGGGTGTTGGTGTTGCTTTTATCATTAGCATGAGGGGCTATATCCAAGAAATGACTAAATAGGTGCCAGATGATCACAAAGAGACTTTTTTGGACTTAGCCTTGATAACTTCAGAATTGTATTTGCATTAATGACCCACAAGCTTTTTGGATTCTTTCTCTGATTATGTATTTATCATTATTATTCAACCCCTTTCTTTCTCACACTGCTGCCAGACTAATCTTCCTCATGGATATGGTCATAATTAAAAATTTTCAATGGTTTCTGATGGGTTATATAGCAAATTTCCAATTTCTTGGCATTCAAGGCCCTCCACGATCTGGTGCCAGTCAATCTTTCTATTCTTTTCTTCTGTTACTCGCTCTGTTTACTTTGTGCTGTAGCCAAAGTGGATGGATGGCTCTATGGCTCTATCTTTCTTTGCTATCTCTGCAATTTTTTCCTTTTTCCCTATTGAAATTCTATCCTTTCTATCCATCCCCCCAAAATCAAACTAAACCTAGATGTTTTATTAAAAACTTAACATTTCTATTTACTCTGTGCTCTAGCCAAAGTGGATGGATGGCTTTATGACCCTATCTTTCTTTCCTATCTCTGCAATTTTTCCCTTCCTCTTTACATGTTGAAATTCTATCCTTTCCATCCATCCCAAAAAAAACCAAACCAAACCCCTAATGTTTTATTAAAAACTTAACATTGAACATCACTACAACCAAATTAACTTGCTTAGTAACCATTTATATTTAAATCCATTCATTTCATTGCATAAATCATTAACATAGTTTTTCAGTCACCCCCTCTAGTCTTCATCAGGATTCTTTGTTCATTCTCCTTCTCTTTTTTCCATATACAATGTCACATTTAATGTGTACTCTATCCTTAAAAGTCCAGCCTCAAAGACCTGATCTGCAGGAAGGAAGGAAGCTTAATCTGTACAGACGGTAATGATGTCGATACAGAAACAAAAGTGAAAATATCCCTTCTCAATGAGTTTAGATGGGAGGGAATGACAACATGGAGAGAGAATGAAAGGTAAGAGATTTATGAAATGAAAACCAAGTAATTTGGGGTTTTGGGGGTGAGGAAGAGAGTATTGATGACTGAGGAAATTGGGAAAGCCTTCATATTGGAGGTGGCACTTGAACCAAGCCTGGAACAGGAGCTAAGAGTTCTGGGAGGCAGAGGTTGACAAGAGAGAGCATTCTATGGGAGGCAATGTGTTCTAGTTGGAAGAATATTGGATTTGGAATCATGGGAAACCTGGCTTTAAATCCAAGCTCTGATACTTACTGGTTGAATTTCTTTAATAGTTCTCATTTTTAATAAGCCTGCAGAAATGTAGACCAAAGAAACTAGTCATAGGAATCTCTCTTAACAGCATTCAGCCCTTGGAAAGGAGTTAAAAAACTTCAGTCTTGGCTTTCATTCTTATATTCCTGGCCCTTTCATTATGATAGAGAGTGAGGCATGTGTTCCTTTAAAGTGGCGGTGACTCCTTTTTGTGACTCTATCATAATTAGGAAAAATAATTAGAGAGATGCTTACGGTGTAGAACCAAAACTTCACAATAGGTGCATTGTAGAATTCATATATTTTTCTTCCAAGGGGGATTAATCTCTGCCTGCTCTGAACTTCTTCTTCATCCTTCTTCCTTGATGATTCCCCGTTGCTTCGACCCAGCATTGCCTGCAATGAAAGTGATGCTGCTGTGGGTTTTTCATTATTCATTAAAGAGAACCCTTTCCCACCCTCTTCAACAGGTGAGAGTATTAGTTGGCCATAAGAAAAGGCACCATTCAAAGATGATGACATCATATGCCAGTCTGGGGGAGTGCTGAAGTTACTGCTGAGGGGTTAGCTAAAACTTTCTCTATCATGTATGAGATCAAACATTGAACTTGGAGTTGCTGAAATCCATCCTCAGACACTTGCTGGCTGTGAGACCCTGAAGAAGTCTGAACCCTTATCCTCTCTGAGTCTGTTTTCTCTTTCTGTAAAATGGGGATAAAAATACTCGCAGCACATGCCTCATAGGGCTGTTCTGAGGTTCAGATGAGATCATTTGTGTGATGTGCTTTACAAACTTTGAAGCACTGTGTAAATATTAGTTGTTATTCTTAATAAAGGAGAAAATCTAGTTAGTACCTCTCAGGAGAAGGAAATATATATGTGTGTATGTATTTGTATAAATATGTGTGTGTGCATATGTATATGTATGTGTATATATGTATACACACATATACGTCTAAGTGTGTGTGTGTGTGTGTGTGTGTGTGTGTGTATGTGTGTATGTATAAACAGAGCCTGTCAGACAGCTTATACTCTGCTGCTACAGAGCCCAGGGTCCTAGATTAGAGGTCATCAAGTCCAATCCCCCTCTCCCTTTCATTTTACAGATGTGGAAACTGAGGCTCAGATAAGGAAAGCAACTTGCTCCTGGCCATGGGGGTAATAAGTATCTAAGGTGGGACTTGAACCTTCACCTATGGGTGAGTATTGCACAGGAGGAACAGACATAGATGGGTTACATTCCTGATGAAATCACAAAAGTATTGGAGCATTCAGAAGTAACAAGGTCTGAATATATGTTGAAAAGCCTTGATATTTATGGTGGCTGCAGGCAAAACATTTTAGACATTTCATTAATTCTACCTTTAACAACTTATATTTCTGATCTTTTTTTTTTTCTGGTGGAGAGGAAGAGAAGGGAATGAACATTTTAAGGAGGAGGATTTAAAAGACTCCAAATCTCATTGGATGAAAAGGAAAAAAAAATATTCTTTGGTCCCATGAAGTAGATAAAAATTATCATCCGCATTTTGAGGAAACAGACGCAAAAAGGTGAAAAGTATAAATGTGAATTTCCCAGCAGGGTGAACATGGATGCTCTAAAGAGTGAAGACCTTAATCTACAGTGAGACAATTTACATATACAGAGAGGAAGCATGGTAGAATCAAAAGGTCATTGTCCTTGGGATTCAGAAGACGTCAGTTGGAACCCAGGACTGTCGCTTTATAAGTTTTTTCACCTTTTTGTATCTGTTTCCTCAAAATGCAGATGATAATTTTTGTAAATATCTACCTCATGGGGTTGTGGTCAGAATAAAAGCATAATTTTATTCTCACTCATATAATGAGATAATATAAATTATGACCTTTGTACTGTCCTATAGAAATGTGAGTTATTACGTATACACCTGGATTGCTAAACTTATTTTGAAATTAAATTATATTAGTGGGTAAATATAAAATGTCTTCCTATAAATCATTAGTATTAAATAATTCAATCTGGATATATTTTTATTTGTAAGCCTCCACTAGAGCCTTTATCTGGTGACTCAGTGTGGAATGGATGCTTCCTGATGGACTGGTAGAGTTGACCCTGGATTCTTAAAGGCCAGACTATTGGAGTATAGCCTCAGGCATGTCCTGTTGGGTTGGAAAGGCATCAAATACTGGCTTAGTAACTATTTTGCCATTTAGGGGTTAGCTAGGCTCAGAAAGGCTCATTGCTCTGAGGTAGGTCATTATATGATAGTTTTTGTCCACAGTGGCCACAGTATTGGACTTAAGAGTCAAGGAGATCTGAGTTCAAATCCTGCCTCAGATACTTACTAGCCCTTTGACCCAGGGCTCTTATTCTTCTCAGCTTCAGCTTTCTCAAAAATGAAGATAACAATACCTAGTTCACAGGGTTGGTATGAGACTTAAAACATATAGACCACTTCACAAACTCTAAGGCTCTATGTGTTGTTCCGTTATTTTTCAGTTAAATCTAACTCTTCTTGACCCCATTTGGGGTTTCTTGGCAAAGATACTAGAGTGGTTTGCCATTTCCTTCTCCAGTTCATTTTACAGAAGAAGAAACTGAGGCAACAGGGTTAAGTGACTTGCCCAAAGTTCTGTGTTATAATCTGCATCAGTGGAAGAAGATCTACACACTGATGAAGTCCTAGTTCCTTGAGGTAATTTTAGGAGAAAGGGAGAAAAAGTCCTTGACTAAGATAGAATACACTATTTTAGTCAAAAACCTAAATATAAATAAGTCCTCTGTAATATGGGACTGGGAGGAAGTTGTTATTGATAAGCTATACATTTCCTGTCACTTGGGACATGATCTAAATTCTTCTATTCACATCTTTTAGTGTGAAAAATTCATCTCAATATAAATATAAACCAGTACTCTGGAAGCATCAGAGCTTAAGTGGAACAATAATAGCTAACATTTATGTGGTATTCTCAGGTTTACAAAGCACGTTCTTTATGTTGTCCTATTTGATCCTCACAACAACTCCATGAATCATTACCCCCATTTTACAGACCAGGATAGGGAGGCTGAGAAAAGATCGGTAACTTGCCCAGTGTCCCATCGATGGTATCTGGGGGCAGGATTTGAAATGATGATGATGATAATTCTAATAATAGCTATCATGTATATAGCATTTGGGCAGCTAAGTGGCACAGTGGATTGAGTGCCAGGCCTGGAGTCAGGAAGACTCATCTTCCTGAGTTCAGGTCTAGTCTCAGACACTTACTAGCTGTGTGATCCTGGACAAGTCACTTAATCCTATTGGCCTCCATTTCCTCAACTATAAAATGAGCTGGAGAAGGAAATGCCAAACCACTCTAGTATCTTTGCCAAGAAAACCCCAACTGGGATAATGAAGATTTGGATATGACTGAAATGACCAGACAACAAAGAGATAGCAGTTTACTATGTGCCAGGCACTGAGCTAAAAGTTTTGCAAATGTTATCTCATTTTATCTTTACAACAACCTTGAGAGTTAGGTGCTCTCCCCATTATTACAGATAAGGAAACTGAGGCAAACAGAGATTAAATGACTTGCCCAGGGTCATATAACTAGTAAGTGTCTGAGGCTGGATTTGAATTTGGGTTTTCTTGACTCTAAGTGAGGTACTCTATGCACTGCATGACCCAGTTGTCTAAAATTTAAGTGGTAGGTGTTATTCAATATGAATTTCACTTTTCTGTATTATTTCTGCCCAAGGAAAACTTGTATCCAAGGTTTACTTAGGCAGGAACTTCCAGTGGTATTCTTTTTGTTTGGATGAGGTGGTGCAGCCTGATAGTCAATGACAGATGCTCTTTTCACCTGAGATTGAACTTTGGGGGATAATGTGGTCTTCCTGTGTAAGAAGAATGGATATTTTTTCAGGGGTTCACTGCTTGTGTCCCACAATTGTCTACAGGATCAGATCTTCAAGAGCACCATGGTGAGTAGAAGTGCCTAGATCATCTTTCAGGTTCCCAATTATAAGAGAACTGTAGCTTCTATGGTTGTATTTCTTGAGTTGTGTCCTTACACCTAAGTATAAAAGTTGACATTTCAGGCTTTGAAGTTTTTGATTTGTTTTGTTTTAGGTTTGTAATTTCATCAGTGTGGGGAGCCCTGTAAATAACATCCTCTGTCGGTGCACCTTCTATGCAACTTTTATGGGAACAGAGAGAGTAAGTGATTTTCTCAGGGTCATATAGCTATTGTGTATCTGAGGCTGGACACAGGCACTGTGGTGTAGTAGAAAGAATATTAGCCTCAGATTCAGGAAAGTCTGAACCTCACTTTAAGAATGCCTTTGTATTAGTATTCATATATATTGTTGTTTAGTCATTTTAATAGGTTCCAACTCTTTGTTGACCCTATTTGGGGGTTTTCTTGGCAAAGATACTGGAATGGTTTGCCATTTCCTTCTCCAGCTCATTTTACAGGTGAGGAAACTGAGGCAAACAGGGTTTAAGGGACTTGCCTGGGATCACATAGCTACTAAGTGCCTGAGGCCATATTTGAACTCAGGAGGATGAATCTTCCTGAGTCCTGTCCCAGCCCTCTATCTAATGTGCCACCTAGCCACTCAGTGATTTTTGTTGTTGTTTAGTTGTTTCAGTTGTGTCTGACTCTACATGACCCCATTTGGGGTTTTCTTGGTAGAGATACTGGAGTGGTTTGCCTTTTCCTTCTCTAGCTTGTTTTGTAGATGAGGAAACTGAGGCAAACATGGTTAAGGGACTTGTTCAGGGTCACACGGCTAATAAGTGTCTTAGGCCAGATTTGAACTCAGAAAGGTGAGTATTCCTGACTCTGAGGCCGGTATTCCATTAACTTTGCCACCTAGCTGCTCTATATTCCTACATATATACCACATCATACTCAACACAGGGGGTTCCTATCACTAACCAGGTAGTGGTACAATGAACATCTTCCTGCTTAAAAGTTCATAAACTCTCAGGTGAGATGGAACCTCTTAGGTCCTTTGGTCCAATTTGTATCAGAGCAGGAGCCTGGGCTGACAGAAGTAAGAAACTCACTACCTCCCAAGGTAGCTCATCCCATGTTAGAATGGTAGTAATGGTTAGGAAGCTTTTCCTTATATCTAACTGAAGTTTTCCTCTCACTTCATTTATTTTCTTTCTTTCTTTCTTTTTTTGTGTGGCTAGGCAATGGGGTTAAGTGACTAGTAAGTGTTATGTGCCTGAGTTTGGATTTGAACTCAGGTACTCCTGAATCCAAGGCCAGTGCTCTATCTACTGCGCCACCTAGCTGCCCCCATGACCTCATTTATTTTCAAAATATGTTTAGTAGTCCAGGTACAAATGTGATAACTCACATGTCTACAGCATATTACAAAGGAAATACTTTACACTATCTTATCTGATGAACAGGTACTCTTTTTAAGTCCTTTTTAAATTTTCACTTGAACTGTTGTCTGACTCCATCCTCACTTCCCACTGTGGACGTGAGTTTTTGAGTTCAGTGTAGGACTTTACATTTATACCCACTAAGTTTCGTTTGATTAGATTGGGCCTATCAAAATCTGTGTTAATCCCATCCTAGAAAGCATGGCATTTCCCATTCTTATGTTAGGAATTCAACCTAGGTTCCTGCTAGCTATAGATTTCATAAACAGACTATCTATGTCTTCATTCAAGTCATCGATAAAAATGCTTATTAATGGTACAGGGCCCAAAACAAAGAACTAAAGTACAGACAATTCTATTGGACTAAGTGACTTGGAGGTCCCAACTGACAATTCAAGTAGCATTTTCTGTCCTTGCATCTTTTTTCCTGAATCTAAGACCTTCAATGAGATATCAAGGGAAATCTCCACTTCATAAAGACGGTGAGAACTTGTCTTCCCTTTGTACTACTAGTGAGTCAGTCATTAAACATTTATTAAGCACCTACTATGTTCCAGGCATTGGGGATACAAAAGACTTTGGTTTCAAGGAACCCCCAATCTCACGAGAAGACAATAAGCCAACAAACATGTACAAACAAGCTATCTACAGGATATAGTGAGAAAAATATTAAGTGGATAGTGGATTGCTGATCCTATAGCAAAGACATCAATGTTACCTTGGGCAATTTAATTTCTCTGGGCCTTAGTTACTTTACATAGAAATAACTCCATATCTGCCTGAAGGGAAGATGGTCTTTTAAGATCCCTTAAAGTTTAAAGAGAGATGATGCATGATCTATGAGCAAAATACCTCCCAGACTTCAATGCAGGGCTCATATCTATGGCAGACTATGACGTACTTTTGAGTTTTAGTCTGAAATTTAAGGCAGCTAGGTGGTGGAGTATATTGAGTGCTTGGCCTGGAGTTAGGAATAACCAAGTTCAAATCCAGCCTTAGACAAGGGCAAGTCACTTGGCTTCTGTTTTCTTATTTGCAAGATGGGGGTAACAATAGCATCTACTTCCCGGGGCTGTGAGGATCAAATGAAATAAACATTGTAAAGCACTTGGCATAGTGCCTGGCACATAGCATTATACAAATGAAAATGTCATATATAGACATATATGCATCTATGTCTGGCACATAGCATTATACAAATGAAAATGTCCTATATAGACATATATGCATATATGTCTACATATATATATATATATATATGTATATATATAAAATCTCTTCCCCACTCATTGCTATGGGGAAACTGCCTCCACCAATGAAGATCAGCAACTCGTCTGTAACTTCTGATCTTAATGTATCGCTAAACATTTGTTCAGGGTCATACATGTAGTATTTATCATGAGACAGAACTTATTCCTAGGTTTTTCTGAGGCCTACCTTCTATTCTCTTTGCGGCACTGCCGTTTTGACATACTTTTCTCCCTCTTTTGGTCCAGACCTATGATTTCACTGGTGGAAATTTCCAGGACAGAGATATGAAAACTCCCTCCACTACTAACTACTTGACTTAGAGAGTTGGGGGGAGGGAGGTGGCACTGAGAGGTTAATTGACTTGCCCAGGGTCACATAGCTAGTATGCCAAAGGCAAGATAACTACCTTTCACATATCTTGGAACAAGAGGCCCAGTAGACATCTTAAGCTCAACATGTCCAAAACAGAACTCATTATCTTTCTTCCTAAACCTCCCCCACTTTCCTGTTATTGAGGTATTGAGGGCAATACCATCCTCATAGTTCCTCCGGTTCACAACCTAAGAATCATCCTGGATTCCTCACTATCTCTCACCACCCCCATATCCAATCTGTGGTCAAGGCCTTGTAACATGTCTCAAATATGCCCCCTTCTCTCTTCTGACAATACTACCTGACACTCTATTGTAAGCCCTCATCACCTCACACCTTGATGACTACAATAGTCTGCCTCCAGTCTCACCCCATTCCAATCACGTCACCGCCCTATTCAATAAACTCCAGGCTCCCTATTGCCTCCAGGAACAAGTATAAAATGTTGTGTTTGGAATTCGCAGCCCTTCATAACCTAGCCCCTTCCTACCTTACTCTTTACCATCTACTCCTTGATACAGTAACATTGACCTCTTAGCTGTTCCATGAACAAGATAATCCATCTCTTAGCTCTGGGCACTTTGTCTTGCTGTCTTCCATGTCTGGAATGTTTTCCTCCAGTTCCATTTACTGATTTCCATGGTTTACTTTAAGTCCCCAATAAAATCCCATCTTTTATAGGAAGCCTTTAATTCTAGAACAATTCTGTTACTTATTTCCATTTTATCCTGCATATAGCTTGTTTGTATTTATTTGTTTGCATATTGTCTTCCTCATTAGACTGTAAGCTTCTTGAGGGAAGGGACTCTTTGCCTCTTTTGTATCCCTGTACTTAGCACATAGTAGGCATAAACGTTTATTGATGGACTGACTTGAACCTAATTCTTTCTGACTCTAAGGCCAGCCTTCTATCCATTATACCACACTATTTCTCTATGAATTTATTGGATTTTAATAAAACCTCTACCAATATGTCAGAAGCTGTCAGTGATTAATCAAGAGAGGGAACCACTTTAATGTGAAATATATCACCAAGTCAGTTGATTTCCAGTGACAGTCAGTGTGGCACAGTGAAAAGCTCTGGAGCAGAGGAATGGAGTTAATTCATAACCTGTGATGCATACTACCTGTGTGACCTAAGGCAAGTTACTTAACCATGTCCCTCAATTTCCCCATCTGTAAAAATGAGGTTGGATTAGATGACCTCTGAATTCCCTTTTAGCTGTAGAGTTCAGAGGCATATATTATCTCATTTGATTTTCATGATAGCCCTGTGAGATAGGTACTATTATTATCCCATTTTAAAAAGAGTGATGCCCTTTGGCCCTTCTCTTCCCCTCCTTCCATAAGTGAGTAAATCCCTTTTGGGCGATGACAGCATTCTACTGGATGGGAGTAGGGAATTAAGGAAGACTTTATGGCTCCTGCTCAGTGTCTCCAAAGATACAAAGAAAGCCTTTGTTTTCCCCCCTAGCAGACAGGATGATATTTTTAGCCCTTGGATAAATTCCAGGGAACGTCACACTGTCAAAGTGGGTGTTGTAGGAGGCTGTCCCCTCCCCAGCTGCCTGATCCAGCCTGCAGCATAAAACATTTGTGCAGGGATAATTCTACTTAGAGAAAAGCTAATAAAAGTCAACCATAGAAACCACAAAACTCAATTAGTCTTGCATTTGCTAACCTGAATCCCCCCCAAAAGATGAAGGCTAAGGCTCTGATTGGCAGAGCTGTTATCTGCTGAATGAAGCCAAGGGATGCTAGATTTTCACCAAACTTACAAGGTTTCTCCGTTTCTCTGAATGCACTGAGGTTGTTTCCTCACCTTATTGTTCCCTAGTGCTGTATGTTTAGAAAACTTGGGTTGCTGTGCTCTTGAATTTCATTCTTTCTCTTGTGGCCCTCAGCCCCACTGAAGAGTTTCTGAGCTGGAAAGGACCTTAGAGGTCAGCTAATTTAACTCCCTCATTTTACAAATGAGGAAATGGAGGAAGGACCAGAGAATTTAAGAAAATTGTACCCAACGTCACTCAGTTAATAAGTGAAAGAGTCAGGATTTGAACCTAGGGACCCTGACAGTCAATCCACTGTACCACCCTGGCCTCCCTGGTTAGGCGGGCCCCTGATGTACTACAGTATCAGGTTTTCTTTTGCTGTCTAGAAGGAAAGTGCTCCAGGCTTCTAATTTTATTGTCTGATTTCAAGCATCAGACCTTAGAAAAAGTTCAGATGCCAGCCCTTTCCCCAGACTTGAGGATTCTCCTCTGTAGTCACCAAGAGAGCAGGAACAGTCATTTCCTACCATAAGAGACTGACCCTGTGCTACTTTTCTTACTGTTAGCTCCATGTCCTCTTCATCTTTTTCCTTCACAGCCCTCTCGGGTTCCTCAGGCTCCTTCTCTTGAAGGTGGATCTCATGGGCCTGAGACATGTAAGGCATATCATCTTTGTTCTTGAACTCCAAGCTGAGAATTGAAGGAGGAAGTAGAATTCCTAGAATTACCTAAAGCAATGATAATGATAATAATAATAATCACATTTAACAGATTAAGATGATACTGGTTGCTTAGTGTCAGAGGAAATAGGGCCTAATACTTCTTGCTGTGTGCATATATGTGAATGGAAGGATGAATGACTGACCACTCTGATACTAAGGGAATCATTTGGAGCTCAGTAGGGAAGTGTTATGCAAGTGAGGATAAAACTTTTCATTCTGGTGGGAAAACTGAAAACAATTTTACCAACAAGCAAAGGTTAATCATTCCATTTGGGTAGAGAGGCACAACTGAACATGGGCATGGCCTGGACAGAAGGGAGGATAAGAACACCCACCTCCCACTCTAACCATCATTCAATCAATCAGTCAACAAGCGTTTATTAAGTGCTTACTATGTTCCAGGCTGTGCATAGAAGATACAAAGGCAAAAGTCAAACAGTTCCTGCTCTCAAGAAGATTGCATTCATCAACATATATATTTAAACATAATTCATGGAAAAGTTCACCTCACTTCTCTGGGCCTCAGTGTTTTTTATTTGTTAAATAACGTGTTGGATTCCATGATTGCTAAAGTCCCTTCCAGCTCTGTGATGGAATATATAAATTATATATCATATATATAAATATATTATATAAATTATAT